AGCCCTCAGCAGCCTGAGTGCAGAGGTGAAGAGAGGAGCAGCAGACAGCTCTGCTATTTGGGCTCTGCTAAGCAGCTATCTGGAGGACAAAGGGCTTCTAGGCAAGTCAAGGAGCTCGGCCAAGATAAGGTTCTGACCCCCATCAAGGCGACTGCTCCTTCTTCCTCACCCCGCAGGATTTTCATGGATGTAAAGCATACCAAACCACCTCACACCCATTAGGAAGGCTGCTATCAACAAAATGGAAAATAGCCAGTGTTGGTGAAGACAAAGAGAAATCAGAGCCCTCATGCACTGTTGGGTGGAATGTAAAACGGTGCAACAGCCACTGCAGAAAGCAGTATGGCAGTTCCTCGAAAAGTCAAAAATAGAATTACCGTGTGAGTCAGCAAGTCCCGCTTTTGGATATATACCCAAAAGCACTGAAAGCAGGGTATTATTAATTATTATTAGTATTAGTATTAGTATTAGTATTTTGAGACAGAGTCTTGCTCTGTCACCCAGGCTGGAGTACAGTGGTGGTGTGATCTCAACTCACTCCAACCTCCACCTCCCAGGTTCAAGTGATTCTCTTGCCTCAGCCTCCTAAGTAGCAGGGATTACAGGTGTGCACCACCACACCTGGTTAATTTTTGTATTTTTAGTAGAGACAGGGTTTTGCCATGTTGGCCAGGCTGCTCTCAAACTGCTGACCTCAAGTGATCGCCTGCCTTGGCCTCCCAAAATGCTGGGATTACAGGCGTGAGTCACTGCACCCGGCCTGAAAGCAGGGTTTTGAAGAGATATTTGTACAGGCATGTTCATAGCAGCACTATTCACAATAGCTAAAATATGGACACATTTGAGAAAAAACAGTCCAGTGTGGGGTGTGTCCATTGACAGATGAATGCAAAAGCAAAGTGTGGTATAGTCACACAGTGGACGATTATTCAGTTTTAAAAAGGAAAGAAATTCTGACACATGCTACAACATGGATGAACCTTGTGGACATTATGCTAAGCAAAATAAGCCAGTTATAAAAGGACAAATACTGCATGATTTCACTTACAGGAGGCACTTAGAGTAGTCAAATTCAAAGGGACAGAAAGTTGAGTAGTGGTTTCCAGCAGCTGAAGGAGTGGGGGAACAGGGAGCTATTGTTTACTGGGTATAGAGTTTCTATTTTGCAAGAAGAAGAGTTCTGGAGATGCATGCTGGTTATAGCTACCCAACAGTGTGATGTCCTTAATGCCACTGATGCTTACACTTAGGAATGGTTAAGATGGTACATTTTGTTACATGTATTTTACCACATTTAAAAAAAATGCTTTAAAAAAAAAAGTATACTGAGGCTAGGCACTGTGGCTCACGCCTATAATCCCAGCACTTTGGGATGCAGAGGTAGGCAGATCACTTGAGGTCAGGAGTTTGAGACCAGCCTGGGCAACATGGTGAAACCCCGTCTCTATTAAAAAAAAAAAAAAAAATTAGTTGGGCATGGTTGCACACGCCTGTAATCCCAGCTACTCAGGAGGCTGAGGTGGGAGGATCACTTAAACCTGGGAGACAGAGGTTGCAGTGAGCCAAGATTATGCCACTACACTCCAGCCTGAGGTACAAAGCAAGACTTTGTCTCAAAAAAAAAAAAAAAAGTAAACTGAGAAGTTAAAGGCATTGGACAGGGTAGCTAGAAGCAGAATCAGATGGGCAATGCATGTTACCCACAGTCACCGTGATGTTGGAAAGGGATGGCTGAGAAATGGAAGCCCAGTGCTGCTAGCCAGGATCAAGGGATCAGGAGCATACAGATTGGGCTCTCTTCCTGTGTCTGTCATTTTTTGTTGTTGTTGAGACAGGGTCTCACTCTGTTGCCCAGGCTAGAGTGCAATGGAGCAATCATAGCTCACTAAAGCCTCGACCTTCTGGGCTCAAGTGATCCTCCCACCTCAGCCTCCGAGCAGCTAGGATGACAGGTGCGTGCCACCATGCCCGGCTAATTTGTTTTTGTAGAGATGGGGTTTTGCCATGTTGCACAGGCTGGTCTCGAACTTCTGGGCTCAAGTGATCCTTTCACCTCAGCCTCCCAAATTGCTGGGCTTACAGGCATGAACTAGCACGCCCTGCCCCCATCTCTGTCATTGTGTGACCTTGGGCAAGCTCCTTGTACTCTCTGGGCCCTGCTGTCTTTGAGAATGTTTAGAATGGATGCGTTTAGGTCTCTTCCAGCTCTAACAGTCCCAGATTCAGGGAAACTGAAAAGCCCTGAAACCTCACAGAGCTCAAGGGCACTGGGAGGCGGGCAGTGGGGCCACGGAGCACTTTTTTGCCGCAGTCCCTGAGGTCTCTTCATTCCCTACAGAAAAGGTTCATTCCTATACATAACACTGGCCTTTGTAGGAAGAGGCATTTTGGACAAGACTGAAACCAAGCTCAGAGCTGTAAATGAGGACTCTTCCTTTTGTTTTACATTGCCCCAGAAAGGACCAGGTTGGACATTTTGGGAAAACCCCAGGATATGCAGCAAGAGCCAAGAGGCCTGGCGGAGAGAGGTCGTTCCTCCCTCGTAGCGGGATTTTGCTTCGCTTCAGTTTCCCCTGGCTTTGGTCCTGTGCCTGCGCTTCCTTCCTCCAGGAAGCCCTCTGGCTGCCAATCGGGGCCCCCAGCTGAGAGCTCCAGCAGTGAGGCAAATCCTTTCCCGGGGCTGCTTCCTATTTACCCAATGGTAACAGCTTTTCTGGGCACACCTGGAGACTCAAATCAAATCAAGGGCCTCTCTGCCTTGCAGGCGCTTCATTTGGATTCGTTTGTTTGGAAAGAAACCTTGCAAAGCCTCAATTTAGAGGCAAATTGAATGATAAGGCAAAGCCTCTGCCAGCCTTGGGGTTCAGGCTAGGGAGTGATACACAAGGGACACCTGGAAAGGGGTACACCACAGCGCAGGACCCCTGAAAGGGGTACATCACAGTGTGGTACACCTGGTGGGGGAACACCCATAGCAAGGTCCACCCGCAGTGCCATAACACCCGCAGGGGGCACATGTGGACACTGCTTTGCTCCGAACCAGAATCCCTGGAGGTTTCTCCACTTCTCTCCATACCATCCTACTCTTCACGTGAAAAGGGCCTAACAGGCTCAGGCCAGGGCAGGAAATGAATTTCTCCGAAATAGCTAGGGCGTGTTAGAAGGCTGCACTACTGCTTTTGACCACCAGAGAGCAGTGACGCAGTGACTTGCTGGGTGCTCAGAGAAGGACCCACCAGTTACATCATTTGCAGAGCCCAGTGAAAATGTGGGGCTCCTTAAGAATTTCAAGACAGCAGCCGCAGAGCATTTAGCCAAGTGTTGGGGCCCTTCTAAGCACGGGGCTCTGTGCTACTGCACAGGTCACATGTGCATGATGCTGGCCCTGGCCCAGGAGCCTCAGGTTTTAGCCAGGCCTTCAAGATGGTAAGGACCTGACAGAGCTCAGGACAGTGCTGCCACTGCAGGTGTCCCTTAGCTGCCTCCGATCTGCTTGCCTATCCTTTTTTTCCCAGTGTCCTGATGACAATATGCACAATACTTGGAAAAGTTACATTTTCAGAGAAAGCCACTGGGGTGTAGTTTCTGCAAAAAATGGTATGTGGTTTCACCATTGTTAGGCAGTTTATCTCAGGAAGTGGGAAGCTCCTTCCAGAAACCAGCCCAGGGAATCCAAGCTCTACAAATTTAGCTTTAGCTAAGGCTTCTCGTTTGCTTCTAAAATACCTGACAACCCTTCATTTTTGTATTCAAAGCAGCCAGCATGTTCCAAAGTGTTTACCGGCACCCAGGAAAGAAAAGTCCAGAACTGGCTCCTAAGGTCCTGCCAGTATTTACAATGCTGTGTCTAAGAGCCACAGGGTGAGGCTAGGGAAAGCCCTTGTCAGAATCGGAAGTTTCATCTGCTGTGTGACCCTAGGACCTGTTCCTACCCCTCTTTGGCCTTCAGCTACGCCACCAAGCCCCATGAAAATGAGGACATCAAACTGGTGTGTCTCCCCTGCCCCACCTAGCTCTTGCCCTCTACCACTCACCTTCAGGAAGTATGTTTGTAAGACAGACCAGGCTCATGAGAAGTGAATTGGGAAATGAAGGCATCCAAGCTGATTGACAAATTAAGTAGGAAGAGGTAAGGACCACCTTTTTGAATTGCAGACCTGCATATTCTGCATGCCTTCCCTGGAAAGGGAGTGCCCTAATGTCTGCAGAGCTCCTAGCCGAATTCTCTAGATTCCCTTACATCCTAAGCACGTTCCTGCATGCAGGGTACATTCTTCCTGGTCGCTTCCTAGTGAGAGTCTGCTTCATAAAGAGAAAGTGCAGCTCAAGTCCATCCCTTATGGGCTCTGTGACCTTGGGCAAGTCCCAAATCACTGTGGATCTCCTTCTTCCCAAGAGGGGAGTGGATGGGTCATTAAGGAGTGCCTCAGTCCTAAAATAAATTTTATGATTCTCCTAAGAGGTCACCTAAGAGGTCGTCTGGCAGGTATTTTCTGTGCCCACTACCTTTTTCTGAGGAAGTAATGTGTGAGTAGGAAAAGGGCCTGAGTGGTCTGCTGTGAACCTCTGCTGTCTCACTAGTTAGCACCTCTCATCTTGGCTGCTGCTGCTTGGAAGATATCCATATAAACCCAGGGCCTGTTTAAAATTTTTTATTTATTTTTATTTTTTTGAGACAAGAGTTTTACTCTTGTCGCCCAGGTTGGAGTGCAATGGTGCAATCTCAGCTCACTGCAACCTCCGCCTCTCGGGTTCAAGCAATTCTCCTGCCTCAGCCTCCTGAGTAGCTGGGATTACAGGGCTGCACCACCACGCTCAGCTAATTTTTGTATTTTTAGTAGAGATGGGGTTTTACCATGTTGGCCAGGCTGGTCTCAAACTCCTGACCTCAGGTGATCTGCCTGCCTCGGCCTCCCAAAGTGCTGGGATGACAGGCGTGAGGCACTGCGCCCGGCCTAACCCAGGGACTTCTTAGCTAGCTCAATGGTCCCAGCACCTACCCTTCTCTTTGGTAATCTTCGTCCAGATTTGACAGGAGCTGCGAGCCCGCCGTGGAGAGATCGACAGCAGCCAGAGGCAAGTCCCGATAGGCAAAGTTCACCAGCTGCACAGGAGCAATGCTCTTGGTTTCTTCGTCTACTTGTTGGGAGATGATCTCAACTTCAGAAATTCCTCCTTCTATGGCAGGCCTGGGTTGGAGAGGAGGAACAATGGGAAAGAGTTATCTTCAAGGGCCAAAAAATTCTTCCATTCCTCAAGGAAAAGGAGGAGAATGCTGCTATGCTGGTGCAGGGCTGAGGAAGCTTAAGGATGCCCCTCTTCCCTCTTGGCCACCCGAGGACTGGACTGAGGCCCTAACAGTCCCATCTCTTTCAGTGGTTGGGGAAAAGTGGGAGAATGGGAAGAGGAAGTGCTCAGACCTGAAAATATGAGCGTTAGTGGGGCAGGGTCCTTCATGAAGGGGAGGTAAAGACCCAGATGGATAACTGCCAGCCAGCAAAACTATGGCTTAGACTTTTAGGACTCTGGGTCACTGGACTCTATATGGGAGTAAGATATTCTTTTAAGTTGTCTCCTGAGTTTCTTTGTAAAGGTGTTTTGAAATGTTTCTATTCTCTATTCCACAGTAGAGAAAACAGGTTTCTGTTCACAACTGGATGTACTGCGGTGATAGAGGAGCCTACATGGAGACTTGCAGAGACCTAGTGGGCCTTGGGGTGGTGAGGACAGGAGGCTCCAGCTGTCCCTGGTAGCCACTCCCTTCCTACTTGAACTGGTCCTACCATATGTCTCTTCTTAAGGTTGGGAATAGGGGATGGGAGTCACTTGATCCAATGTCTGAGGGGTTGTGGGTCTCTTCCTGTGTTACTGTCAGGCTCACCTTGGGCACTGCCAATAACTGACCACTCCAGTGGCATTCCCGGGCATCTCAGCCAGGGCAGTACCACCTCCCAATCTACCAGGGGGTATTTGGCAATTTGTGGAGGTATTTTTAGTTGCCACCACGACCATAGGTGGTTGCTATTGACATTTAAGTAGGGCTGGGGACGCTACACATTCTGCAATGTGTCAATAACAACTAAAAACTGTCCTGCCCAAACACCCACAGCAACCCTGTCCAGAGATGCTGGACTAGAAAACTTTCCTTTAGCTTCCTGGGGCACCATCTTTGGTCTGTCCAGTATGTCCTTGACCCTATCTCATCCTGTAGGCACAAGAGTGAGCCCTTGTTCAAACAATGAAAGTTAGAAAGGAACAATAGTATAATGGCAAGGAGTAAAATTTAAATATTGGAGGGAACATTGAGGGTCAGTGCCCAGGATAATGAGGGCCCAGTTTTAATACTGAGATGGCAGCCCTGTCTGCTGTAAACTGTTCTTGGGCTCTGGTGCTGGCTTGAATGCCAACTTCTGCAGGGCTCCTCCTGAACCTCAGTTTCTCCAATCAGAACATGAGGAGGTAAAATAGAATATTCCTAAGGGCTGTTCCTTCTCACTCGATGATCTGACATGGATAACAGACATATGGAGAAGATTGTAGGAGCTCTGGAGTGACAAGTCCCTATACTTGTGTGGGAGCTCTGAATTCTAAACTTCTCCAACAACCATTGAAATCTAACCAACAATACATAGCTGCAGGCCGGGCGTGGTGGCTCATGCCTGCAATCCCAGCACTTTGGGAGGCCAAGGCAGGTGGATCACCTGAGGTTACGAGTTCAAGACCAGCCTGACCAGCATGGTGAAACCGTCTCTACTAAAAATACACAAAATTAGCTGGATGTGGCGGCGCATGCCTGTAATCCCAGCTAATTGGGAGTCTGAGGCAGGAGAATCGCTTGAACCCGGGAGGTGGAGGTTGCAGTGAGCTGAGATTGGGCCATTGCACTCCAGCCTGGGCAACAAGAGTGAAACTCTGTCTCAAAAGAAAAACAAAAACAAAACACAGCTGCAGTTATCCAGTAAGTTCAGAGATCAATCTACCTACTTCTCTTTTGCTTGGATTATCCGATAATTAAGGGGAAAGTGAGATTCTTATTTGAATGCCACAGACTGGCTGCCTAGACCACCTGAATTCACCAAGTAATTTCTAATCCCCAATTCTTATTTGTAGGCCTTATTTAAACCTTTGCTTTTTGCTACTTGTCAAGCACAGATAATAGTACTCATCATTGCATGACATTTACAAAATGACTCAAGATCTTTAAACGAAACAGTCATAGAATATGAGGTTTCAATGTTTCTCAACAATTTATATAAAAGCGTGGGTGTGTATGGGGGGAATCCCAGCTCCCCTAGATGTTTCCCAAAAAGCAGATGCCGGGTTGAATTTGTTCTCTCTTTTCTTCTGGACGACTCAAGGAAACTATGGATCGCTGAACTAAACAGAGAGAACTTTCTGATTAATAAGGTGTTCATGGAGAGAAATTAACAGGATATGGCTCTGAGAAGTGCGAACAAACTATTTCTGCCTTTCCAACATTTCTGTCTCACGTTCCCCTCCCATCAGTGGTCACAGTGGCCTGGCACCATCTCTGGCCATGTGGTGGTCATCTCAGCAGAGAGACAAGGCCTCTTCTGGTGAAGTGAAGGTCCCACAGTGTATAGGCTATATTTAGCCTATACCCTTTCCTTAGATACAAAGAATGGTAGGGTAGACAAAATGTATTAATGGTTCCATTCGTTACCTCTCCTTGAGCCCATGCCCTTTGGCATATAACTCCACAGCTCTTTCCATCAAAAGAAAGAATGTATTTTTCTAACCCTTAATTCAGCATTCAGCCATGTGACTCGTTTTTGCCAACAGGATGTTAGATGGTAGAAGAGCCAAGTTAGACACCAGCAGAGGCATGAAAAGGCTCTGTGAATTTCCGCCTGTGCTCTTGTACCTCCAACATCACCCATGAGAGGGTGAGCAGCCTAGCCTACTGGAGGATGAGAGACATGGAGCAGAGTCCAGCCTCCTCTAGATCAGCTGACAGCCAGCTATGACCCACATTTAAAAGTCATCCCAGCCAAGATCAGAGGAACTGTCTAGCTGAGTACCCCAGACATGTCAGCAATAAACATTTTTTGTTGTATTCTACTAAGGTTCTATGGTTGGTTGTACACAGCATTACTGTGTCAATAGATAACAGATTCATACTCCAGATGACAGAGCAGTCAGGCCCGTATCTAAATAGGCCAGGACAGTGTGGTGTAATAGGAGTGCTGTTTTCATCTTAGTATTCATACCAACCACTTGCAAAACACAAAATAAGTGACCACCTTGCAGGTGCTTGGTAAGATTAAGTGGTTGGTTCATATGGCATCTCAGGTTTTGGGAACTGAAAGCAATTCTCCCTTAAGAATTCTGCCCCAGGTTTCATAAAGCCTGGTTTTAGAAACCCTCTTAGATTTCTAAATTTCCTTGCAATTCCCATTTTGTTAATTCACCTTCAGAGCTTCCTAATCTTGTCTTGAGTCTTGCTTTTGAAAGGTTTCTCCATTTTCTGTGGCCTCCTGCTAAAGGAAATGTACATAGTGGTTGCCTAAATTAGAAGATCTTCATCTTCTGGGAGATTTATAGCCACAGTTCTGGATCCAGAGAGCAGATCCCAGCATTACTTACTGTGGATTGGTCATGTTGAAAGATGCAGCCAGAGCCATGGGTTTTCTTGGTGTTTAGTGGGGCTCAGCTGTCCTGAAGCCTGCTGTCAGCATTTCCAAGCGTGGGTTCTACAAGACACATACAAATATAGTGCCCTGAAAACAAAAATAGGAACTTATTACCTTCAGATGCCAAACCAAAGTCCTCCTAAGCTCATCTAAAAATGGGAGTCCTTAGAACTTTCTTCCATCTAGCACTTTTCTTCAATGTAATGTTGAATAGATTCTTACAATTACCCTATGGAAGGGTAATAATAAGCATAATTTCTCTTTTTTAGATGAGGAAACAAGGCCAGAGTGACAAAATGACTTTTTTGTGTCACAGAGATGGTAGAAGAGCCAGGTTAGTGCCCAGGTTCTCTGACTTCTTATCCACAGTTCTTCCCACTAAACGGCTGTGCTCCCCAAAACAGTGTCCCTTTATACTGCAGCTTTGAGAGGCTTCAAAATAAGGTTTGTCTAAAAAATATCAAATGTTTTCCATGTGTTTTTTCTCCCACTTCCCTTTCCCTTCCGGTAGTTCTGTCTTTTCGTGCAGGCTTTTCTCTTCTTCTCCTCTCAGCTCATTCCAAGAGCAGAAAGAATAGACCCTGGAGCTGGGCTGCCACAGTCAGAGCCTCACTCCCACTTACCAGCTCTGTGACCTGGAGTGAGCTACTTACACCCCATCCTCAGTTTCCCCACCTGAAAAATAGGGATAATAACAGAACTAACTACATGAGGTCATGCCTGTAAGACACTAGCATAGTGCCTGACACTTAGTAAGTACTATATAAGTGTTGGATTTCATTATTATTATTTATTTATTTTATTTATTTATTTTTTTGAGATGGAATTTCACTCTTGTCGCCTAGGCTGGAGTGCAATGGTGCGATATCGGCTCACTGCAACCTTGCCTTCTGGGTTAAAGCGATTCTCCTGCCTCAGCCTCCAGAAGTAACTGAGGTTACAGGGATGCACCACCACATCCAGCTAATTTTTTTTGTATTTTTAGTAGAAACGGGGTTTCTCCATGTTGGTCAGGCTGGTCTCGAATTACTGACCTCAGGTGATCCGCCCACCTTGGCCTCCCAAAGTGCTGGGATTACAGGGGTGAGCCACCATGCCCAGCTTAATTTATTCATTTATTTATGTTTAGACAGGGTCTCACTCCGTCACCAGGTTGGAGTGCAGTGGTGCGATCTTGGCTCACTGCAGCCTTGACCTCCTGGGCTCAAGTGACCCTCTACCTCAGCCTCAGCTGGGGCTACAGGCACATACTACCACACTCAGCTAATTTTTTGGACTTTTGGTAGAGTCGGGGTTTTGCTGTATTGCCCAGGCTGGTCTCAAACTCCTGAGCTCAAGTGATCAACCCACCTCAGCCTCCCAAACTGCTGGGATTACAGGCGTGAGCCACTGTGTCTGGCCAGTTATAATAATAATTATTATTATCATTATCTGAGAGACAGAGTCTTGCTCTGTCTCCTAGGCTGGAGCGCAGTGGCGCAATTTTGGCTCACTGCAACCTCCACCTCCTGGGTTAAAGTGATTCTCATGCCTCAGCCTCCTAAGCAGCTGGGACTACAGGCATGTGCCACCACACCCAGCTATTTTTGTATTTTTGGTAGAGACAGGGTTTTGCCATGTTGGCCAGGCTGCTCTCATACTCCTGACCTCAAGTGATCTGCCCACCTTGGCCTCCCAAAGTGCTGGGATTACAGGCTGAGCCACTGTGCCCTGCCCATAATAATTTTTTTTTTTTTTTTATAAATTAAAAGGGCATAGTCTGTTGAACCTGAGTATATTCCAACACATTTAGATGGCTGAATATAGTATTTCCTCTTAAAAATTGGATGAGTAGGCCAGGTGCAGTGGGTGGCTCATGTCTGTAATCCCAGCACTTTGGGAGGCCGAGGCGGGTGATCACAAGGTCAGGAGATCGAGACCATCCTGCCTAACACGGTAAAACCCCGTCTCTACTAAAAATACAAAAAATTAGCCAGGTGTGGTGGTGGACGCCTGTAGTCCCAGCTACTGGAGAGGCTGAGGCAAGAGAATTGCAGGAACCTGGGAGGCGGAGCTTGCAGTGAGCTGAGATCATGCCACTGCACTCCAGCCTGGGCGACAGAGCGAGATTCCGTCTCAAAAAAAAAAAAGAAAAAAAATTGGATTGGTAAACAGCATATACTTTTCTATCAACCAGTGCTACAGTTCCATCTAGAAGTCTTCTGGGAGACAGGGCAGCCCAGCAGAAGATACACAGACAAAATAACTCAGAACCCAGGTTCTTAAAGGAGCAAGGAAGTTCCTTTAAGCAATGTGTAATTAAGAAAGAGAGTGCTCAAGTTAAAGAAACTTAAGGAAATCCTGGGGAAGTCTGAACTTAGAGCAGTTGGAATTAACAGAGATAGAGAGCTCTCTAAAAGCAGAAGGGCCTCCAAGGAGGAAGCCATCAACCATATCCACACCAGATGTTTGTGGGGCAGTGGAAGCAAGGGACAAACGCTCAGAGCCAACACTAAGGAGAAATGGACAGATGTTTTGTAACCACATCTTACTTAGAGCTTCACCTTCCCTTAGTATTTCTTAGTAAGGAGGGTCTAAGCATGAAAAACAGAACTGTCTTCTATAGTATTTGGGATATGAAATCCATTTTATACTGAGTCTTATAAAATTCCATAACATAGATTTAATCAGTCTCAATCTTTTTATGTTCTCTTTATAAAACTTCAAGTTAATAAAGTCTTCTGAGTACTAAGACTGATCACATAAGAGTGTCTAAACTCAACTGACAATGAAGTCAGGATTGAGATATCCATAAATGGGAAGCCAGATGAGCAATCCTTCTTTCCAGAATGGTGTTTTAACAACAAGCTGTATTCCCAAATGAGGTTTTTTGGTTTGGTTTTGTTTTTGAGACAGAGTTTTGCTCTTGTTACCCAGGCTGGAGAGCAGTGAGCAGTGGTGTGATCTCAGCTCCCTGCAACCTCCAACTCCCGGGTTCATGCAATTCTCCTGCCTCAGCCTCCCAAGTAGCTGGGATTACAGGTGCCTGCCACCATGCCCAGCTAATTTTTGTATTTTTAGGTTTCACCACGAATTATTACAAAGGCTGTCCTCCGACACTCCTACATCAGTAACCACCCCCTCAGCCTCACAAAGTGTGGGATTACAAGGCGTGAGCCACCATGCCTGGCCCAGAATTACGTATCGTTTTACATGCTACACAAGGTACTTAAGCCCTGTGGGGAACATATAATGGGAAGGTCACTTACTTCATGGACCTTCCTTGCTCTCTGGGCAGGCAATTTAAAAAATACAAAACTCCCACAACTTCTTGCACATTTCTAGTAAGTGAAGAACAAGTAAAAATTCACAATCTTTCATTTATAAATCACGAGAAACAATTAATGACCCACAACTTAATATAGCCAATATCCGAAACATACACAAAAAGAAATGCCAGATTTGAAAAAAACTTTTTCTACACACAACTTTACACTTTTGGCCGGGCCGCCGGTTGCATCATCCCTGTAATCTAGCCTTTGGGATGGCTGAGGTGGGGTGGATCACGAGTGTCATGGAGAATGCGAGGAGCTATGCTGGCCAACCATGGTGAAACCCTGTCTCTTAACTAAAAAATACAAAAAATTAGCTGGCGCCGTGGTGCGCAGGGGCCTGTAGTCACAGCTACTCGGGTAAGGCTGAGGCAGGAGAACCGGCAAAAAACCTGGGAGGCAGAGCTTGCAGTGAGCTGAGATCGCGCACTCGGCACTCCCAACCTGGGCGACTGAGCGGCGGACTACCTGTCTCATAAATAAATAAATAAATAAATGTAAAACTTTTGAGGAGAAAATTTCAAATATATACAATTGTAAGAATGTATCATGGACCTCTAGTTCCCCCAACACACCCAACGTCAATGTTATCAGCTCCCAGACAGTCCTTTTTCTGTATCCCTGCCTGTCTCCACTGCTCACAACTTGCTTTGGAATAAATCTAGATGCCATTTCATTCACCTGTATTGCATATGTAGTTCTAAGGGTAACGATGAGAAGATTCCTTTTAAAAGAAATAATCACAAAGCTATCATCATCCCCAAAGTCAACAATCTTTTCTTTTCTCTTTTCTTTTTTTTTTTTTGAGACACAGTTTCACTCTGTCACCCAGGCTAGAGTGCGCTGGCACAATCTCAGCTCAGTGCAACTCACCTCCTGGGTCAAGCAATTCTTGTCCCTCAGCTTCCCAAGTAGCTGGGATTACAGCGTGTGCCGCCATGCCCAGAATTTTTTTTTATATTATTAGTAGAGACGGGTTTCGCCATGTTGGCAAGGCCGGTCTTAAACTCCTGACCTCAAGTATCCAACCACCTCGGCCTCTGAAAGTGCTGGAATTACAGGCGTGAGCCACTGCATCTGGCACTTTTTTTTTTGGAGACCAGGGTCTCACTCTGTTGCCCAGACTGGAGTGCAGTGGTACAATGGTAACTCACTACAGCCTCGAACTCCTGGGCTAAAAGTGATCCCCCCACATCAGCCTCCAGAGTAGCTGAAAAGCACAAGCCACCACACCCGGCTAATTTTTGTATTTTTTGTAGAGAGGAGGTCTCAGTATGTTGCCCAGGCTGGTCTCGAACTCCTAGGCTCAAGCAATCTTCCCACCTTGGCCTCCCAAAGTGCTAGGACTACCGGAGTGAGTCACCATGCCTGGCCAGTATTTTCTTTATATTATTAAACATCCGGACATTGTTCACATTTCCCCCATTTGTCCTGTATATTTTTTTTAAGGTTTGTTGAATCAGGAGCCAAACAGGCCACACATTATGATTAATATGACTCTTGGGTCTCATTAAATCTACAGGTTTCCCCTTCCTCTACCTCATTTTTTCCCTTGCAATTAATTGGAAAAACTGGGTCATTTGTCTCATAATGTTACCCACAGACTGGATTATGGTGATTGTATTTCCTTAGCAGTTTTCTTTCTTTTTTCTTTTTTATTTGAGACAAAGTTTCGCTCTTGTTGCCCAGGCTGGAGTGTAATGGTGTGATCTCAGCTCACTGCAACGTCCACCTCCCAGGTTCAAGTTATTCTTCTGCCTCAGCCTCCCGGGTAGC